GTCAAAGCTCAGGATGGAGGCTCTCCTCCACTCAGTAGTAATGTGACCGTGAAGATACTGATCCAGGACCAGAACGATAACCCTCCTCAGGTTCTGTACCCAGTCCAGACTGGTGGCTCTGTGGTGGGTGAAATGGTGCCTCGTTCAGCAGATGTGGGCTATCTGGTCTCTAAAGTGGTGGCTGTTGATGTGGACTCTGGACAGAATGCCTGGCTCTCCTATAAACTCCAGAAAGTCCCAGACAGGGCTCTGTTTGAAGTTGGCTTACAGAATGGAGAAATCAGAACTATCCGCCAAGTGACTGATAAAGATCCTGTCAATCAAAAACTGACTGTTATAGTGGAGGACAACGGACAGCCCTCTCGTTCAGCTACAGTCATTGTTAACGTGGCGGTGGCTGACAGTTTCTCTGAAGTACTGTCTGAGTTCACTGACTTTAAACACGACAAGGAGTACAATGACAACCTGACTTTTTACTTAGTGTTGGCTCTGGCTGTAGTTTCCTTCCTCTTCATCACGTGTTTAGTTGTTATTATCTCAGTGAAGATCTACAGATGGAGACAGTCTCGAATCCTGTATCACTCCGGTCTGCCTGTGATTCCATATTATCCACCACGTTACTCTGATACTTTGGGAACAGCGACTCTCCCTCATGTGTACAACTACGAAGTGTGCAGAACAACAGATTCCAGGAAGAATGATTATAAGTTTGGCACAGCTAGTCGTCAGAACGTCATGATGGTGGACCCCACTGCCACAGGGACCTTGCAGCGGTTACAGACTGAAAAGTGCATCCTGGATGAACCAGACTCTCCTCTAGAGGTGAGACACCTGTCACTGTAAAAAATAATTATTTAGTTGTGTTCTTGTCACTTGTTGCCTCTGTCTGAGTTTTTGTGTTCGATGCGAATGTTCGGCTGCGTTGTTCACACATTGAAATCGTCTTTTCAATGTGAATGCTGAATACTCTCTGTACATTCGTCATAGTGGTCAATATTTACTTCTGCAAATTATGGTAGTGATTGTTTGCCAACATTCCCTATGAAAGGAATGTATTTGTTTAGAAGTTTTTTAAAATGTGCATTATGCATTCTCAAGCATTCAGAGGATAGTTGGCTTTTTATGTCGCTGTCCATGGTGCTGCAATGGTCTAGCGGTTTCCAGGCACCAAATGAGTAAGAAAGTTCAAATGAGATACGATAAAATGCGTGGAGTAATTCACGTGATTCAAAAACCTTTTTTTTTTAATCATAGCATAAAACATTATTTACATGTTATTTTCATTCATTTATTTTTTTAAATATCAGTTTTTTGTTTTTGTTCAACATTTACCTCATGTCATACTACATCCAAAGTAATTTTACTCAGATACAGCAGTATTTGCTACAGAGGGAAACATTGTCTTATCTAAACTATATTTTGTTTTACTGCCAATTAAAAAGGTGCATTTTTTATATTGAATCGTTCGGTTTTGGCCTGTATAGAAATATTATTTCAAAACGAATTTTACGTTGTACAAATATATACAGTTATAAAACCAATACGTCTGACTTTTCCAAATATGTCGAGCAGAAACACTTCCAAAAATGGGCTCTGAGCGCCGCTGTTGACCTATCTCTGACTCGGTAGTCTGAATAAGCTTTCATCAGTCCACGCCTTAAACTCAGTTCTCCATTTCTCTGCTAGAGAGACCGTAGTGGTCGATCACTGCGCTGGATTTATCTGCTGGAATCAACAACGCTACATATTTTTTAAATATTTGGATATCATTTTATTCGTTTTGGATTAAATACTGGGTCTTTACTTTTGAATTTGTGATGAAGACGATGTGGACAGTCTTTTCCAAAGGCCGATGGCAGGCTGTGGTTGCCATTCTTTGTCTTTCTCAGCTGAGCTCGGTGACTGGACAGGCTCGGTATTCTGTACCGGAGGAGCAGGCTGAAGGATCTTTTGTTGGAAATATTGCTAAAGATTTAGGCTTGGATTTAGCGAGACTCAAATCAGGTAAAGCTCGTATTATTACAAAGGGAAGCAGACAGTATGTTGACTTAGACCGAGACAAAGGAATCCTCGTTATTAAAGAGCAAATCGACAGAGAAGAGCTGTGTGGAAAGACGACGCCATGTAGCTTCAGTTTCGAGTTGATTTTAGAAAATCCAATTCAGCTCTATCGTGTAACAGTGGAGGTCATAGATATAAACGACAACAGTCCAGTGTTCCCGAAACAGACAGTTGATTTGAAAATTGGTGAAAATGCTCCTTCGGGGACCCGCTTCTCGTTAGAAAGTGCAGACGACCTCGATGTCGGAATTAACGACATTCAAAAATATACACTTAAACCATCAGATAATTTCAAAACAGAAATTAAGACCCAATCTGATGGAAGTAAATTAATCGAAATGGTTTT